TTGTATTCTTGCAAGTATTTTCAGAGATTTTAACCCTTTTTGCGCAGGTACTAAAAATCCTATCAAGTGCTCTTAGGTTATTTTGTCATTTCCTGCGAGTGACAAAACCTTCAATCTTCTTATTAACTGTGGCTGAAAAATGCGAACGAAATGTGGGAAGGAACAGGCGGTGCTTACAAATCTTACATGCTACCCAAGCAATTATTTATAAATTTTGGTCACTTGTATTGTTGTTGAAAATTAAAAGGCTCAAGAAAAATAACCAGAACGTTGAAAAACAATAGGAACGGTTGAGAGACTTCAACTTGATTCTTAATGAACCTGAATGAAAAATTACATTTTAAATAGAAACACCAAAGTTACTGCCGCAAGTAACTCAACCACAACTTGCTTGGGTAACTCAACCACAACTTTCAGATTTTGTGGAACTACATCCCACGATTAAAAGCATGAAGAAAGACAAACTAATCATGACTCCTACAAACTATGGATTCTCCTATAGAGTGGGGAATACCAGTCTCCTATCTATAGGCAACAACCTTTATTGAAAATAAATAACTAGACATATGGAATATGTCCAATGTAGTCCGCCACATGTCATAAGAAGAAATGCAGTAAGTTGGATAATAATTCCACATGTTCTATGTTTATTGGATGGTACACCAGACACGTGGTGTACCTGGAACATTTAAAAATTTCTCCAGGATTGGAGAATATGGAGAGAGGTACAAGTGCAAGCGTCATACATGCAAACCCAGATATATATATATATATCTGCTTGTTCCTCAAGCAACATCAATTGCTGGATATTCTTGAATGTCGAAGCTAAGTATGTAAGGATTGTGCAGGGAACCGCCGAAAATGTGATTTCCAATCCTGATCGCACTAGAAACCTCTGTCAATTCTGGATCAAAGTAAGATGAAATCAAATTTCCTTCTAAATCAACCTCCAAAATGCCACCGTTCTCCTCTGTACATGGGTATCACTGTGTACTTCTCCATAATTCCCAGCACTTTTCTGGTGAAAGGATATCTAACAGCTAAATCCCATGCCGGCATAGCCGGCTGCATCAAAAAATTGCACACAAAAAACAGAAACGACTTGTTAAGCCCTTTACGAGGAAATGTTTGAAAATTAAAGGGCAAGAATGTAAAGTGGGAACTTTCTGTATGTACCACTGGTAATGCAATCCAATAATGGCCTTCTCCATCATATCTGATGTTGTCTGGCATGCCTGGCAGCGGATCAATAAAAGTCTCCACACTTCCCTTTTTCTCGCCTTGTATGTAATACTTTTTACATCGCTTCCTATAGCACGCACAAACAAAAAAACAATGTAAGTTATCAATCTAGATCAAACATTCGGATTGCAATATATAACATCGTGAACTAATATCGTACTTGGGGGTTTCGCAGAAGATTACGTGACTTTGGTCGGGCGAAACCACCACTCCATTAGCAAAGTAGAGGTCATCCACCAGCACTTTGGTCTGTTTGGTTGTTGGGTCGTAGCTCAACAATCTACCATGAGGCTGACCCCCCCAAATGTCCAAAAGAACGTCTGTCAAGTTGTACTTGTATGAAGCATCTGTGAAATAAATCATACCGTCCATCGCTATATCTACACCGTCTGGAATTTTAAATTTTACACCGTCAGCCTCGTCTGTCAGCAGCTTTACCTCACCCTCACTTGTTATATTCAGCAAAGCCCTGCCATATCAATCACATGTACTTTACATATACTGGTCATAGTCTTTCTTGGACAGATACCAGATATTAAAATAATGTTCGAAATTGGTGCATTTTCATGTATTATCAAGTAATCAATTAGGGTTTGGTTTTGGAAGCTAACTCGGCTAAGTCTGCAGGGTTCACTGACCCGGACATGACCGTTAATTAACGTTGGGTTGGTAGTTTTCTCTATTGTATGTTGTTTCTGATTACAATAGTGTCTCTGGAATTTTTATTGGCTGCACTGCATGCATGCTGAGAGGGTCAGCCTCATGGTAGATTCTTGAGCTACGACCTGACAACCAAACAGACCAAAGTGCAGGGTCAGCCTCAAATACTGATCTAGTATTTTTATTAGTTAATAATACATGTTGATAAATGTATGATATATAATATCATGAAAAAGTATTATTGTGAGTTAGGACAATTCAAAAGCGGAATCATGAATTTTTTTAATGGGTGAGTTAACTAAAGGAACCGTAACATGAATATTCATGACAAATTAAGGAAACAAATCGAAAATTGATTAGACATTTGATTATTTTGGGTAGATCTCTTATTTCAAACATTTACTTTCTTTTTCTTTTTCTTTTTTTGGGTGGATTAGACATTATTATTGTAACTATTATAATGTATTTTTATCCAAATAATGCGTTGGTCCGTATATTACTATATTGAAGAGAAACAACCAAAAAACAAAAAAATTTAACATTTCCTTCGTGGACCAACCTCATCGGCATCAGCGGCGAGAACTTCATTGTGGAGTCCGAAAGCGAGCCCGAGCGGTCTGCCGCCCGTGTTTACCCAGCTATCCACCGCAAACTCGCTTGGCTTTTGCGAGTCGTCGAGTTTAACTCGCTTGACCCACCCGTCTTCACAACCAGTGTAAATGAGTCCCGACTCGGAATGATAAGCCACGTCCTCCGGGCCCAGTAAGACCCCATAGCCCACACGCTCTAATCCTGGAAGCATGCGAGGGTTGTGAGCCGGAGCCCTCCTAATGAAGTGGCGAGTCAACTCGTGATAAGGCAGAGGGGCCGGGTCGAACGAGTCGAGTTGATAGATCAACGTGGCAGTGAAGATGGTAAGTATTAGGATTAGAAACAGAGAAGTTGTGGTTGACGGCCATGAGTTGGAAGGTTGGGTTTGGGAAGATGACTCGGCTGAGTCTGTAGGGTTCTTTGACTCGGACATGGTAGTGATCAAACTATATTAAATTGGAGAAAAATAAATAAACGGGTTGGTTGGACACTATATAGAATATTTTTCAAAATAGAAGAGAAATTGGACAAATTATAAAACCAACTGGTCTGCCTCACCAACTGGTCTCACCAACTGGTCTGCCTCTCACCCTCTCACCCTCTATGGGCCCAAAATGAATTATAAATGAGTTGGTCGGTCCATTATTGTATGGAGATCTTGATAATGTTAATTCGTTGTTTGTGTCAAAAATGGTCCAACACTTATGGGCCAATTTAGTGATGATGAGATCTCAAACTGTTAATTGGTTGGTTGGTGCATTATTGTACGGAGATCTCAATTTCCACGTCTTTCACCAATTGGAACGTCCAAAGCATGATCTCGATATTGTTAATTTGTTGTTTGTGCCTGTTGATGCTCAAAAATGGTCCAACACTTATGAGCCCAATTTAGTGATGATGTCACCTTCAATCTCGTGTCTTCGACAGAGCGGATGATCTGTAAGACAAAGAGTGCTCGGTAAGACCTTTGACACTTATGTGGTATCGGCCGAAGGCTCTCGATATACTTAAATTAGAATAAGCGTGGAGTGAATAGTGATCTGGACAGAATAATGATTAAATTGCCGAATGTCACAGTTACCTTGTTTTATGTGCATATTGGGTAGAATTTTAATATGGGACTATGGGCATTATCTGAGGAGGTGCCACGTGTATCTGTAAGGAATTCTTATGAAGTGCGTCTTTTTCTATGATCAGCAGTCTAGGGTGCCGAAGGCTCACATCCTGCCAATGATGCTTTGAGAAGCGCAAATAATTACCGATTTTAGCGGGTCCTCTCGTGGGTCCCTTATTCCACATGTCATTTTCTGATTGACCAGTTATATATTGTATAAACATTATCCTTTTCTTATTTTGAATGGTGGGTTTGTGAAGATACTGGTGGTGGGAAGGAGTGGTGGAGCTGGTGTGGGGATAGGGTTGGACACGAAATGATCATTTTGCTCTTAAATTTAACAGAAAATGTAATGGAGGTGCTAAAGGAAGTGGAATTCACGGACTCTAGAAACCATTTTGCGAATTCAATAACCAAAATTCTAATTGGGGCACAAATTTAGAACTACTTTTGCTACAATTGAGCATTAGTTTTATTTTATCCGTTTAGCCAATTTGCTCTTATAATATGATATGATTATTATGGCAAAATGGTTCTCACAATATTCACTTTGAGACTTCAATTTCTTGATTGACATCCTAAGCATCTCCTTTTGTAGCACAAGTTACTTCAAATCTATGGAGAACTTAGATTTGGAAGAACATCATAGTTTAATAATTATGTTCATTGTTCGATTTCTTGCAATGTAACAAAGAAAAAGAAAAACGCTATTGTAACCTTATTATAGCATACCAAAAAAAATATTAAGTAATTAATCATCCACACCACTACCCAAATACTGAAAGTTTTCATGTAAAACCAACAAACCTATTTGCCAACTGTCAAATCAAATTGCCATAATCAGAGATTAGGCATCTTATTCTTGGCCTCCCACAGGATTGGCCTTCTCCCTCAGAACAAATTTTTGTATCTTCCCAGTTGGGCTAGGCAAATCCCCAAATATCACAACTTTTGGAACCATAAAACCAGGCAATTTCCCCTCACAAAACTCTATAATCTCTCTAGAACTTGCCTCACCACCATCACTAAACCCCTCCTTCAACTTCACAAAAGCACAAGGAGTCTCCCCCAAAACCTCATCATATCTCCCCACAACAGCAGCCTCCAAAACTTTTGGATGAGTCAGCAAAACTGCCTCCACCTCAAGGGTGCTGATAATCTCACCACCACAAATGATAATATCGCTTGCCCTGTCTTTCATCTGAATGTACCCATCTGGATGCCTAACTGCCAGGTCACCAGTCCTATACCATCCACCCTTGAAAACCTCATGAACTGGTTTGGAATTCTCTAGATAACCCAGCATCAAAGTGTTGCCTCTGAACATAATCTCCCCCATTGTTTTCCCATCAAATTCCACACTTTCCATGGTGTTTGGATCCTTCACATCAACCCCTTCCATCATCAGATTGTACTGAGATTGCTTTTGATCAGGCTTGCATGGTGTGACAATTGCTGGCCCAAGAGCCTCTGTCATGCCATATCCATGGCTCACATTGAATCCCAGCTCTGCAACCTTGATCAAAATCTGAGGTGCTGGCAATGCACCAGCAACAATAATCTCCACCCTTGATTTTATTTCCCTGGTTTGGTCATTTTCTGAGGCATCTGCTAGCATGTTCAAAATAGAAGGTGCACCACACAAGTGTGTTACCTTGTGGAGATGAATTGCTTCAAAAATGAGTTTGGCTGAGACATTTCTGAGGCAGATGTTGGTGCCTCCAAGAGCAGCAACAGCCCAAGGGAAGCACCAACCGTTGCACCGAAACATTTCGACTGTCCATAAAAACACCGGCATTTTTCTCATGTCACTTTGAAAAATGGCTGCCAATGAATTCAGATACACAGCTCTGTGGCTGTATAAAACTCCCTTGGGATTTCCAGTTGAGCCAGAAGTGTAACTCACTGAAATTGAGTCACATTCATTGTTGGGTCTTAGAATCTGAAAGTTGGGTTCTGCTTTTACCTGCAGCAGGTCATTGTAATTCAGGGTACCTGGTGGAAGGTCAAGATCGATGGGAGAAGATGATGACGATGATTGGTCAAACTCAGGGATAAGAATGAGCAGAGGTGGATTGGATTTTGTTTGGGACAATCTGTCCAGTGCTTGGAGGACAACTTCAATGTGCTGATGATCTACAAGAATGGCTTTTGCTTCCAACTGTTGTAATATCAATGATAATGTGGGAGAGTCCAGCCTAATGTTAAGTGCACAAAGAATTGCCCCTGCCATTGGAACGCTGAAATGAAGCTCATAGAGTGCTGGAATATTTGGTGCAAAAGCTGCAACCTGGCCAGGGAAGAAAATCAACCATTTTAATTACTTGGCTACTGTTAGGTACATTAGACCTGCCTCTAATTTAAAGCATGTGCAATCCACTGTATTGAGGTAGATTAACCAACTAACTACAAGTTTAGTAGTATTTTTCTTCATGTTATTAGAGAATGTTAAAGAATCGAATTCTCTTACTTCCAATTAAAAGAAAAAGGGTGATGTTAAATGAACCTAAAATTAACCAAGTACACCTTATTACCAAACTAATTTACCATAATATAAAATGACCAAAAGGATATATTAAATTGTGAAACAAATGTAATTTTAATAAGTACACACTACTCACCATATTCAACCCTAATAAAAAATAAGAGAAAAAACTACTTTTTTCTTTTGTATTTGGGTTACATGTAAATTATAGCATGTTATGTCTCCGGGACTCCTTTTTTCTTGGATTTTTTCCTGATATATATGTTTCAAGATTTCTTTATAACTTTAATTCCCTGTGGTGTGGCATTTTCCATTTGACTTATAAACCCCTACACTAGTAGTGCTGGATGACAGAATCATCACTGCAGCCCGAAAATTATGATTCAAACAACTTTTTGTCTAATTGACTGCAGTCGTTATTTGAGTTGTATTTGTTCCTACAGAGAAGAAGATTTGTAACAAAATAAGAAACAAATTTAAGAGGGTTGATTGTCTTCGTTATGCCAACCAGGATGTCAACTACTAAAGATCATAAGAAGCACAGAACCCGTCACAAGGACCAGAAGGTGGGTTAAGGAGCAAGTTCGGCATCAAGGTGAGTTTGGTGGTTTGATAGTGTTCGGCAGTCAGCTTTCGAATAGGTTTGGTGTTGTGTGATAAAGTGAATTAGGATATACCAAGGGTATTTTTGGTAGTTAAATATAGTGTACTTCTTTAATTTTACATTTTGATTTAAATATTAAGATGTACTTAGATCATATAGTGTACTCAGTTAATTTTAGAGTTCATTTAACAACGCCCAAGAAAAATACCAAAATGGGACTATGAGAAATATTTCTTTTTATGTATGATAAAACTATATTATTTACTCTTGCTAATACTAAATTAAAAGTAGATAGAAGCTAGACTAGGTTATATAGTTAGTCGAATTTCTAAGCCTATCTCACTTTGACTGACTCTGGGTCTTGTACTACATTGTGTACTACTTTGAAAAAGAAATGTGAACATCTCCTCTTCTCTACTTTTCACTATTGGACAATATAGCATTACAATATTCAAGATGTTCACACTAAAGAGCGTACCAAACACACAAATTATTGGCTTTTGACATGATCCCACTTCAAATTAGCAACTAAATTAAAAGCGAAAGTACTCAATTAGTGACATGATCTTGAATTATCTTATAATTAGTGACATAATCAATTAGTGACATGACCATTAATTATTTATAATAGTCAACCTATATTGTCCGCATGCACTCTATTGTATTGTTAATAAAGATTAGTGTCACAATACTTGTGTCACTGGTTCTGTTCAGGATGTGATGTCTTAGCTAGGTATGCGGATCTTATACGACTAATTATGCTAAACTTTTTTTTTGTAAGAGACTCTCTTATTCTGGGATCACATCATCACCCGTCAAACCACTTTCATAAGTAAAATTGATTCCTTGCATTTGGAGTAGGACTAACATAAGGAGAAGTTATAGAATGTTACGGGCGGGTGGAATTCAAACGTAGTGTAATTTATTTACATATCATAATATAAGTGAATTATCTCTCCATCATAAGGCCGGGTGGAATTCAAACGCAGTCCAAGCGTTTCCCTTAAGACTATCTTCTTGTATTTATTAGGATCACTCTTGCTATTGAAGTGCATGAATGCGTGTAACGCATGCAGGACTAAAAAGGGCACTTCATTGACGTAACTTTTGGGTTTTAGCAAGTGTTTGGGTTTCCATTGATTTCTTATTCTCAATAAAGATAGGGGGTGAGGTAGCTGTATTCTCATCCTTTTCTGCTAGTCTCTATCTATCCTTATCTTTGTCCGCGTAGGTCCAGAAGAGAAGAAAAGAAAAACGAACAACAGACAAAATCTACAAATTGGAATCAATTAGCAATAGACAACAATTGATAAACAAAGACATCAAAAGCTACGTTCGTCGTCAGTCACCTTGTACGCGCATATGCATGAATTATTACTTTCTATTGATCTCTTTTAACATATAAGTATGTGAATCTTGATTATCGATTAAATTGGTTATATATTGTCTTAATTAATATATGATATTCAAACTTATGTGTAGTCTCATAATAAGTATAGAGTTTGTCTAACAATTTAAATTTGGTAAACGAATATTACCTTATGTTATGTGAGCGCAACCTCTACTATTTCACTACATTAAAAAACAAACAAAAAATCTACTAGTAAAGAACGTGCTTTGTGGTGATCAAAGTTTTCCGTTAGTGGAAATCATGCGATGATCACGACTTTTTATTTTGTCATATATAGGTTAGCTAGCAAAAGAGATCAATATAATAAAGAGACAAGAATCAAGAAACAAACGGAAGTACAAGTTTGTAGAGTTGTTTATATAATAACTTTGTAGCTTTTGAGGGATTCCGAAATGAATTTTTTTTCCAATGATCCAAACTATCTATTTTTTAAGTCTATATTTATAGATCATTATTGCAAAAAATTAGACAACTCGGAAATCATTTCGACATCCAATTGTATCATACAAAATCAATAAACACGGTGCTTAGGAAAGTACTAAAATCAATAAACTCGGATTCAAGTGATTTTTATAGAGATGATCCTTGAATGATTATCTAAAACATAGACGGTTTAGATTAATGAAATACAATGCAAAGTGAGTCCTACAAGGATGTCCTCAAATAAACTTCCATTGAAGAATTCCTCGATGGAAGCTATATATATATATGATGCATGTATGTGCACGCAATTGCAGCTCTATGATTCACTGATTAATTGAAGTTGGTCAGCCAGCCGTCATGGGACAGTTTTATATGAATAAAACGCCGACAGGCATATATCTAAAGGAGGCTCACCATGTTACTTGGTGGTTCGATGATCATGGGGCTCATGGCCATTGTCCATTTGACCCGCCAATGTGTAAATAATATTGTCCCAAGTTCTATGTATTGACTTGTTAAATATTAAAAAAGATATCAGAACCCGACAGTCACGCAATAAAGTACAATGGACTCTTGACTTGCTAAAGTCTCAGTCTTTTTGGCAAACTAGTCGTTGCCTCTCGTTGGTTAATGAACTCCTATGGCTTTGCAATATTCATGGCTATGGTTTCCTCACTGGTTTAAATCAAACAGATCAAATATCTACCTCTCTCTCTCGATCTCTCGACATGACATGTCCATGCACTTCCTCCATTTGCCCTCAAATTACAATGAGTTTCTCTTCGAAACACAAGACTTACTCAAGTTGTTGAAGGAAAACATGATCACAAGTTTATATAGGCGTCCTAAAACATGTATTAACTTACTCTAAGTACACTAACGGATTAATATAGGTATAGTAATGCTTGAACTATAAACACACATAAGTTTGGTTTAATTAGATTCATTTTATACGAAATTTAAACCACAAGATATATTCATGTTCATGAAATAATTAAGATTAAAAAAAAAAAAAAAAAAAAAAAAAAAAAGGAAACATAGAGGGAAAAAAATAAAGAATTGACAAAAAATTACATATTAAAAAAAAAAGACAAAATAAAATAGCCCAGCCTTGATGGGCTTAACCTGGTCCAACCTGATAGGCTAGGCTTGGACTTTGAATTTTAAAAAAAAATAATCTGCTCGGCCCGAGCCTAAGCTTGGATCAGGCTAGCCCAATCTTGCCCATTGACTTTAAAATTAGTATAAAATTAATTTTCCATGTTTGGTTACGTAATACCTCTTATATGAGTATGAACCTCTCATATAGGAAGACATGATACCCCGTCCCCCTTTTGTTATGGATTTCCATTTCTTAGGAATATGAATTTTGTGCTTTCATTAGCATTTCACCGTTATTAGAACCATGACCGTATATTGTGCTAATGGTCAGCCTATTTTAAATGGTGTGGCGGTTGCAATATTCTATGGAAGAGGCCATTGAAATTGGAAAGTCATAATTAAAAAACAACATATAAAATTTCAGCCTAAAATAATGCGACCCAGGCCCAAGCCCAAGAGTTAACATATAGTCCTTTTAACAATTTCATTTCCTTCTTGTTTGTGGGGAGACCAAGGAAGAATATTCACCCATGTATGCTTTTTTTCTCTTCAAACAAAAACGGTACTTTGGCAAGTTGGCATTCAATTTCTCACCTAAATGTTCGGCTAGACGCTCGTCAATGAGAAGTTATTGGTTTTTTTAGGTCAATGAAAAGTTATTGGTTAAACCAATTTTTCCAACACTTATCGCTAATCAATATAAGGAGAATGTTAGCAACCTTCTCCCTTTTCTTCTTTAACATGTGTCACTTTTCTTATACTTAAAACAATATCATTAATGCTTTAGTCAAGTTTTTTTTTTTCTTTCCGAATTTACTCTTATTAAATTTATTGACTTTTATATCTCTTTCAATTTAATTTAATTTTAGAGATTCCTTCAATTTATACAGTTATCACCTTCTCTTCTCTCTTCTCCCACGACAGATTTGACATTCTTCTCCACAACACTGAAACATATGGTTCTTCTTTTTCAGTCGCTAATGGCCATTATTTGTTGTCTCAAACCCGAATAGCTTTACTAATTAAAATCTTGAGTATAAATCGTTTTATCATGATGGATTTTTATATTTCCTTCTTGTGTGCCAAACTCCAAGAATACTGTATCTATTCAAAAGCCAAACACTACAAAATAAAAAGAAACTGTGGGACCAAAAAGTAGCAGCATATGAAATAGGGCAGGCAACCTCCCCTCATGAGAGTTTTGGCAACCTTGGTTTATCCTCGATGTGGAAGACTGACCCCAAAGGAAATTGCACGCACAATGTCGGATAAGTTAAAGGCACACCATGTAGACTCTTCTGGCCTTGCCAACTTTGCCAGCCATCTAGAAATTGAGAAAGGTAACAAAAACAAAGAACTACAAAGCCGCACTCTTGGGGTAGCAATTCAACTGCGGCAAGTGACAAAAAAAAATAAAAAATATCTGGAGCTTTCTGATATGAGGTTAGTATCAATGAATGTGATGGTGGGATCCAAATTAGGCTCAGCAAATGAGTTATTCATTGACTTTTTGACTGTCCGACCCTCTTTGCATATGGATGGACGTCTTCTTCTGCTCTTCTTTTGAGCTGGGTTAGGGAGTTGGGAAGAGGAAAAGTCCTAATTGGTTAATGTGTTTTAATTAATAATAAATAATTAATAGGGGTAAACTTGGAAAATAAAAGCTACTTTATCTGATGCATTAATGACATCACTATTTGCGAAAATAGTCAAACAAAACCGCTTCCTCTCTACGCTATATATAGACATCCCCACGAAACCAAATCCACAGATCAAAAAGACATCAAACACTTTCAGAAAAAGAAAATGAAGTTGCAGAGTCTTATCATTTTATCCCTAGCTTTGCTGTTAGGGATCTCAGCAGAGCAATGTGGGAGGCAAGCTGGAAATGCAGTGTGCCCTAATGGGCTGTGCTGCAGCCAATTTGGGTGGTGCGGCACCACAGCTGATTATTGCGCCACTGGTTGCCAGAGCCAATGTGCCTCGACCCCTACCCCAACCCCAACCCCAAGTGGTGGCGGTGGTGGTGATGTCAGCAGCATCGTTAGCTCAGCTGTTTTTGACCAGATGCTTAAGTATCGAAATGACGCGAGATGCAAAAGTAATGGGTTCTACAAGTATGATGCTTTCATTGCTGCTGCTCGAACATTTAATGGGTTTGGCACAACTGGGGATGTTACTGTCCGGAAGAGGGAGCTTGCTGCTTTCTTGGCTCAAACCTCTCATGAGACTACTGGTCAGTACTCTAATATTGGTCATGATTGTTTGTTTGGTATAAAACTAATTTAATGATCATTTTGACTTATGGATTATATTGCGGATTACGTCTCTGTTAGGCACAGAAGCAGAGCTAGGATTTTTAGATTGGGGGACTAAATTTGTGGTCAATTTAAACCGGTTTTCTTATCTTTAAAAGAGGGCCAACACTAATTTAATTGTAAAAATTCTATTCATTTTTCATATCTTACATGGTTGTCCGGAAGAAGGAGCTTGCTGCTTTCTTGGCTCAAACCTCTCATGAGACTACTGGTCAGCACTCTAATATTGGTCATGATTGTTTGTTTGGTTAGAAAAAGTGCCTACGAATTCTTACACGATTCTCTCTTAACCCTATCACGATGAATCCTGAATATGTGAATTTGATTATGCAGGAGGCTGGGCAACTGCACCAGATGGACCATATGCATGGGGATATTGCTTTATCAACGAAATTAACCAAGATGTATATTGTACACCATCCGCCCAATACCCATGCGCTGCCGGCAAGAAATATTATGGCAGAGGACCCATCCAACTCACGCAGTAAGTCTCTCTCGTATCTCTATTCACATAACAAGTTCTGGTCCATTGACTTGTTGACTTTGACTGACTTGTTTACTTTTCTTCTAGCAACTACAACTATGGTCAAGCGGGTAAAGCAATCGGACAGGATCTGATAGCCAATCCGGATCTAGTGGCCACAGACCCGGTTGTATCATTCAGGACAGCTATATGGTTCTGGATGACCCCACAGGGAAACAAGCCATCGAGCCATGACGTCATCACTGGCAGGTGGAGCCCATCTGCTGCAGACACGTCGGCGGGTCGGGTCCCCGGGTATGGAGTGATCACCAATATAATCAACGGTGGGATTGAATGTGGGCATGGCCAAGATGATAGGGTGGCTAGTAGGATTGGGTTCTACAGAAGGTATTCTGAGATTTTGGGAGTAAGCCCAGGGGACAACTTGGATTGTTATAACCAAAGGCCTTTTGCCTAAAAGATAAAAAGGCTAAAATAATTTTATGTACGGTCTACCAAATAATACAATAATCATCCTATGTAATAGGAAATGTCTCGTTTCTATTTCATAAATAAGAGCTTATTACTTTGCATTTGCACTAATTTTCTTTAAATACAAGTGATATTACAAAAAACAAAAAATAAAAGGAGAAACAAACACCGACCAAATGAGCGAGTAAATAATTTTAAACATTTGAGTTATTAGTTAACCTTATACTACTCACTTGTCAATTATTATATAGAAAATAACAAAGCACTTGTCAATTATTATATAGAAAATGACAAAACATCGTTCTTTGTTTGATTTGGTTATCATGAAATTTGAATATAGAACATCCTCTTCCTCTACATAAACCCTAGTCAATTTACTAAACGACAACTGTAATAACTAACTTTAAAATTAAGGGCATATGGTAATTTCATTCACTTTGTTACTTACTCCACTTGCTCTCTAACTTGTAGGCTGCTTTTTCATTTTGAGCATGAGCCAAGACACAAATTTATTAAGGTCATATTCTTTTGCAATTTACGATATGTCGTTTTTCATCAACATCTAGGCTTTTCATTTTGGGCCATTACGAAAAACCGGGCTTTAGCGCCAACAATGTCAACAACGAACCTAAAGGAGTAAACCTCCCCATGACCCATCACAGCACCCGCAATCCCCAAATCTCAAACCCCTGCAAAACCCTAACACCTTCACCAGCACAGAGCTTCCCCTTTTGATATGGATTTCCATTTCTTAGGAATATAAATTTTGTGCTTTCATTAACATTTCACCGTTATTAGAACCATGACCATGTATTGTGCTAATGGTCGGCCTATTTTAAATGGTGTGGCAGTTGCAATATTCTATGGAAGAGGCCATTGAAATTGACAAGTCATAATTAAAAAACAACATATAAAATTTCAGCCCAAAATAATGCGACCCAGGCCCAAGCCCAAGAGTTAACATATAGTCCTTTTAACAATTTCATTTCCTTCTTGTTTGTGGGGAGACCAAGGAAGAATATTCACCCATGTATGCTTTTTTTCTCTTCAGACAAAAACGGTACTTGGCAAGTTGGCATTCAATTTCTCACCCAAATGTTCGGCTACCCGCTCGTGACTGAAAATTTTATTGCTTTTTTTTAGGTCAACGAAAAGTTATTGGTTAAACCAATTTTTCCAACACTTATCTCTAATCAATATAATGCTATATTTTTTGGGAGTTTCACTAAAATACCCAAAATGGGGGCTGAAATTATAAAAATACCCAACACCCAAAACACTTTATAAACATACCCAAAACTCATCATTACACACACTCAAAACCCATTTATAAACATACCCAAAACCCATCATTACACACACCCAAAATCATTTTGGGTATGGTTCTATGTTTTAATAGTGCTTGGGTATTTTTATAAATACATGTCTAGAATTGAGTATTTTTATAAATATCTAATATTTTTTTCACACATTAAAAATAATCCTATCTCCACTTGGAGTAAGGCATAATGACCAGTTAACTCTTATCGAAGAAAAACTTAGTTACAATAGGGATAATACTATTTTACTATCTCCGACTAATAATGCTCTGTCACGTGGAATTGTTATCACACGTGTTATAATGTTATTAGCCGAAGATAGCAAAATAGTGATATTCATGTTTATTGGAACTCTTTCTCCTCTTATTATAAAGAGATCCCTTTTGCAAGTTTGTGATTTCAAATAATTCCCATTACCCCACCTAAACCTGATATATCCTCTGATATTTTCCTTTTCCTGTAGCCAGACATTTTTACAGACAAAAAAAAGAAGTTTCAGATACATACAGAGTGTGAGCGAATGATAAGAATCTATGACAAGAATAAAACAAAGAAGTAAGAAATAGTAAGAAAATTATACTTGGGGTAACTTTGATCAATCACATTCACCTTGATTTCTATAGACTTGGTTTTAGAATGTGGTCAAAAGAAGAGAGATTCAAAGTACGACTAGATCTCTAGTTCTAGGTCTGCACTGTTCCTGCCCTTATCCTTCAATTTTGAGATTTCAATCGATTGCCGTGTTTTAAGGGGAACTGGTCAATCCGTACGTAAACTTTTCAGATATTTTCTAGCAGCCTGCCCAAATACACCGTCTCTAAAAATAATCCTGTTGTGTAATTTCCACAACTAAACAAACTTGGAAGAAAAAAGCAAATACAATGGGGTGGGTGCATTGCCAATTTGAGAAAATAGTCAAACAAAACCGCTTCCTCGCTACACTATATATAGACATCCCCACGAAACCCAATCCACAGATCAAAAAGACATCAAACACTCTCAGAAAAAGAAAATGAAGTTGCAGAGTCTTATCATTTTATCCCTAGCTTTGCTGTTAGGGATCTCAGCAGAGCAATGCGGGAGGCAAGCTGGAAATGCAGTGTGCCCCAATGGGCTGTGCTGCAGCCAACATGGGTGGTGCGGCACAACAGCTGATTATTGCTCCACTGGTTGCCAGAGCCAATGTGCCTCGACCCCTAAACCAACCCCAACCCCAACCCCGACCCCAAGTGGTGGTGATGTCAGCAGCATCGTTAGCTCAGCTGTTTTTGACCAGATGCTTAAGTATCGAAATGACCCGAGATGCAAAAGTAATGGGTTCTACAAGTATGATGCTTTCATTGCTGCTGCTCGGACTTTTAATGGGTTTGGCACAACTGGGGATGTTACTGTCCGGAAGAAGGAGCTTGCTGCTTTCTTGGCTCAAACCTCTCATGAGACTACTGGTCAGCACTCTAATATTGGTCATGATTGTTTGTTTGGTTAGAAAAAGTGCCTACGAATTCTTACACGATTCTCTCTTAACCCTATCGCGATGAATCAATAAGCATCCTGAATATGTGAATTTGATTATGCAGGAGGATGGGCAGCTGCACCAGATGGACCATATGCATGGGGATATTGCTTTATCAATGAAAATAACCAAGATGTATATTGTACACCATCCGCCGAATACTCATGCGCTGCCGGCAAGAAATATTATGGCAGAGGACCCATCCAACTCACGCAGTAAGTCTCTCTCGTATCTCTATTCACATAACAAGTTCTGGTCCATTGACTTGTTGACTTTGACTGACTTGTTTACTTTTCTTCTAGCAACTACAACTATGGTCAAGCAGGTAAAGCAATCGGAAAGGATCTGATAGCCAATCCGGATCTAGTGGCCACTGACCCGGTTGTATCATTCAGGACAGCTATATGGTTCTGGATGACCCCACAGGCAAACAAGCCATCGAGCCATGACGTCATCACTGGCAGGTGGAGCC